ATTTATACCTTTCATTTTTTTTGGCATTTTCACTCTTAATTATATATTTGATTGCTCAAACCATCATTTCTATTCAATTTTATCTAATTTTCCAATAAAAAGCTGTGAAATGATGAGTATACCCTCATCATTTAAATAAAAAAAATTTATTTTTAATTCTTTAATAATTTTTTTGAGACTCGTTTGCATTTTTTAATTTTTTTAATTTTTAAATAAATTTAATTAGAATTCGTTTGCACTTTTTTTATATAAAAAAAATTAATAATTTATTGAGCACTTGTTTGCACTTTTGTTTTAAAAAAAATGGGACTATGATTGCAATTAATTTTTTAGCTTTTTATTTAAATATGAGGGTATATTCGTCATTTAATAACTTTTTTTTTTCAGAAATTTGATGAAAATGGATAGAAATGACGGTTGCGCAGTCAAATGTGTAATAAGGATGAAAATGAAAATCAATAACGGTAAAGGATATGGACATTATGTACTAATTACCCTTTTAATAATTTATTTGTGACTTATTTTCGCTTTTTAAAAAAAATTGAGACTGTGGTTGCAATTAGTTTTTTTCTTTTTCTTTTTGTTTTATTTAAAGAGAAATATATATTCGTCATTTCATAATTTTTAATTGAAAAAATAGGTGAAAACAGGGGCGGAGCCAAGAATTTTTGCCAGGGTGGGCACAATTTACCTACGGACAGCGGGTTTCTTGATTCTCTCAATACGATCCCTGTTAAAATAAGAAGAAAAATGGTATCAGATGGAATACTCCAGTACTGGTGGAACTATGTGTGAAACACTCTTGCTTCTTACCTCAGTCAGTGATTTTCTGCTAGCCGTTGTTATTGGTCGAGTAGGACACTGGTTCAACAATGTGATTAACAAAACAAAAGGGGTGATGGACCTCTCATGAGCGCCACAGGGGAACTAACATCATTACTTTACCAAATGAATTTGAGGACATAATGTCTTAGAAGTGGCTACATTTTTTTGCATTCCTAAACTAGAATCGCCATAATCCAATACCTAATATATTATTTCCCCACAGAAACACTAGTGTATAGAGCAGCTTAGTTCCATTAATCCAATTTCAAGTCCTAGTCTAGAATGGGAAATTATTTCATGAACAACTAAATATATCTGATGAGTATTCTTGAAGAACATAGCACATATATAAAGAGATACAAATTGGTAACCGCAAGGAATCCTTTTGAGCAAGTCTTGAACCAAAAACATTTATTGGATTTAATTGAGAACTTAAAACAATTATAACAGTATTCCACACCGATGATGTCTAAATAGGTCCCAAAGCAAGGTAAGTGAAATTCTAAGCATAATTGTGTGTCTCCTAGCTGCAGTACTATGTGCTTCTCGGCAAAAATTTAATTGAGTTCCAAGAATCACTAGAATGACTTTGTTTCACTCCAACAGATGTTAGATTTCTGTTCTAGTTTGAAAAATTACAGCAAATTGCATGTTCCAAATGTAGTAAAAAGAGCTAGTTTACACCTGAACTAGTAAATACTTAATGGAAAGAGTTGCAATTTACAACCACAAGAATCTTACACCAAAAAAAATAACTTCATTCAACAACTATCTGTGAAGATGGGATCAAAGTTCTGAACGGCTGAACCAACTTACGAATGCCCTCCTACCTCAACAACTCCTTGCTACGGAGGCGGAGGCTGCGAAGTGCCAGAGGCGGAGCAAGGGAGCAGAGGTGGAGGCGGAGGCGGAGGCTTAGGCTTCAGGTGCGAAGAAATGGAGGATGGAGTTATTTAAGGAATGAGGTTTAAATTTTTGGACTTGGGCACTGGACTTGGGCCGTTGGGTATAATATATTGGTATTTTGGGCTTTCTCTCTTGGACTAGGAATTGCCTATAACTAAAAAAAAATTTGAGCCCAAAAGTTCAGGGTTGGCCTGTGTCCACCCTGAGCCTTACTGGGCTTCGCCCCTGGGTGAAAATGACATTTTGCGCAATGAAATGTGAAAATAAAGGTGAAAATATCAAAAAATGAAAGGTAGAGACATTTTCCACAATAACAATGAAAAGTGGGGACGTTATGTGCTAATTACCTTATTTGAGAAAATTAACTAGGAAAAGGAAAAAAATATAAACCATGTTAATTTTATATCTTCATGAGGATAAATTTTGATGTGACAATCAATTATCCCTCACATTTCTCTCTTTCCTCCCTCCCTCTCGTATAAATTAAATTGTCCAATCTCATTATTCCGTATAAACTGTCACATCATCGATAATTTATCATAATAATAGTATTATTCATATAAATAATAGCAAGCAGATATAACATTCTTTTGCAGTAAGTTTACACAATTATGTTGACTGACATTAATTACTTTAATAGATGTTCAGGGAATGAATGGAAAACAGAACAATTGGATTTTCAGACAAGTGCCAACTGATAGAGCTTTAAGGACACTTCTTCCTTCCCCCGTGTGTAGTCATGTTGGCATAGCAAGGGCAAATCTCCTGGTTGCCGGCGGTGCCTGGTGGCACACAGTTGCACCGCTTGCAGCAAGTTCCACAGGCCCGGTGGCAGAGCCTCGGCCGCGATGAAAGCCGGCACCTCCTACCACATTCCTTCCCACAATCTGCACTCGCATATGTAATAATTAATGTGCACATGATGACAACATTATTACAGTTGAAAAATATTTTGAAAGAATGAGGAAATTTGGCGTAGATTTTTGATAAAAATTGATGATTGAAAAATTATGCATCTCATAATTTGGGATTAAAACTAATTGTTGACTTTAACTTGAATTCAAACAAGAGCTAAAAATGATCACTTGCGAAAGCAATAATCCACGATATGAGTACTATATTCGTGCACGTATTAGACCAAAGATGGTAATAACAAGTGAGGAGATGTTAACCTATTTTTTGAGGAGACAGTCCATTCACATGAATGTTGACCTAACCAGAAAAAATACTAAGAAAGTTGAGAAAGAAAATATTCGAAGTATAATTGTACATAAAAAAACAAAAAAAATCCTCTTACCCTTTCATCGGCTTCAACCGCGCAAAGAGCGAGCCAGAGAGTGAGAAGGGAAACAATCAAGAACTTGAACATGATGCTAAAAACTTGATTGTTTAATGGCAACCTCAATGTTAAGCGTGTGATGAAATGAGAGCAAAACCATTGTATTTATAGGGTATAAGATTTACAAACTTTTCTCTTTTCTTTGTATGTGTGGGGGGGCCCTTGGGGTACCCTTGGCCCTATAATAAAAGGACTACTTCTTGAAGCATCTACGTACCTTAAAATTTTCATTTATCTTCCTAAAATTGAACAATAGATTAATGAGTCGAGTAGCTGGATGGACCATTTGTCATCATAATTGAGCCGAATGCATTTAAATGAATATATATAGGGAAGCTCTAATCAATGATCAAATGAAAAGATATAATTCTTCTTTGTAAAGTAAGATTAATATTAATATAGAAAAAGCAGCGTGAACAAAAGGTTGAGATGCAAGTAGTCGATGATATTAAGGGCTTTTTTGATAGTCAAAAGTTGCTTTGAAACTAAGAAGCTGTTTTTTAACGTGTTTGAGTAATTTTATGAAATTTATTTATCTGATTAGGCCCCTGTTTGGAGGTCATTTTGCAACTCATTAATAGAAAAAAAAATGATCGTTATTCTAAGTGGGTCCCGGCTGTGAGAGAAAAGTCAAAAAAAAGGGCCGATTTTGGTACAATAACGGTAATAAAAAGCATTCTTCTGACTTAAAAATGAGTTCCAAACAGATGAGCTTTTAGAGTAACCTAGACTAAAATAACTATCTCAAAAAGTTCTTTTACGAGAAGTAAAAGCAGAAACCCTGCAAAACAGACTAAAGTACTCGCTTCATCTTCCATTTCCATAAGAAAACTTTTGTGGCTGATTCAGATAGACAGCACAGCATATAGTATTTTTTGGTGTAAGGATGACCTTGCTTTGCTTGATGCATAAAGTCTCTAATGTACCAAGATGATGGAATCCGGGCCCAGCACACTTTTCTTTAACCTATTAGCTACACTTTCTCTAGATGATCGAGTTGTATGTACATAATATGAACATTCTCTTCGTATACGTCTGATTTGGATGAAGAATCTTAGTTCATTATGATACTACGTTACATTTTTTTCATTTAGAAGCCTAAGAAAAGAATATAACTTATATATTAATATTAAAATTTTGTTCTCGATGTGCTTTGGATCATGTGTAGATGAAACTAATTTTTTTTTTTCTCAACGAAGGTGTGATATAATCATAATTTTCTTATAATTACTTATATTGAATGCTTAACCCAACATTTAATTATAAGTATTTAGTTTGTTAAACGTCGAATCATTTCATTTTAATATATACCAATCATCCAATAGACAATTGCCATTTTTACCACAAAATGAAGAGGTAAAATCATATCGGCTACGTTCAAGGACATTGAAACCCATTTCTAGGAAAGCAATCAAATTAAAATTATTTTTGTGCCAACTATTGGCATATCATTATACAATGTTATCAAACCTAATTACAATCATGTTACATGTACTTTCTTGTTTACATTAAATTTGACATCCTAACATATGACATCCATTATAGTTATTGGTTTTTACAGCATCGTTATCACTAGCCAGATTTTGACACATGAGGGAATGTTGACAATAATGTACATATAGCTTAATTCACCTAATGAAAACAACAAAAGTTTCACACCCGTGAAACTTTGATAACGTCAAGATAACAATATATTGAAAGTTAAAGAGAGAGATCTATTTTGACACACAAAATCTGATATTTTGCAACACATATTTGAGTAAATGAGTAAATTTCCCTCAGAACGTGGAAAATGTATTAATCTGCAATATTTTCTCAAAACAACCGAAGAGTAGGCTAGAATCCATAACAAATATACGCTTTTAGACAAAGGATAAAACATAGTGCGCAAACAAACTTTAAGTTTGAGGTTTTTTACACGAGTATGCTGTCAACACGTCCACGAGGCAGATCTTTTCATTTGGGGCTTCATCTGTTTGTCTTCCTCAAGTGATATCATGCCCAAATGGGAGGGATCTTCAAGCATCATCTTAGCCACCAAATAACCAGCAATGGACCATGTCTGGTTCTTACGTGCCTGCTTACCGATGTATCGTCCGTGCTTTCCATCGTAGTATTCTGGCCAATGATCTTTCAACAAACGTGCTTCAGCAAGTTCAGTGGCACGTCTCGCTAATTGGGGTCGTCCAGACTTGATGCAGGCTGCAGTCAGGAGCCATAAAAGGACTACAAAAACACGATCAAGAAGCAACAGCTAAGGTACTCAAGTCTAATGTTCGAATAAGCTTTTTAAAAAAATGTACTTTGAACTCACATTTTGTTTACGAACATGTGAAGAACTGCTACGTTTCTCTTTATTCTAAGAAAAACGTCATTTATTTTAAGAATAACTTGTACCTTACTCTCAAAATAAGCAATCTATATCCAACACTGATCACTAAAACACGCGCACTAAAACAGCTGGAATGCATTGAAGAATTAAAAATAATGAGAGTTCACTTGCAACTTCAGTACCATACTTCGGCACTCGACAAAAGAGGCAGAGCTAAATTTGTTAGGCCGTTACTCACCTGGCCACGAACCACCGTTGTGGTAACTCCAGCCTGTGTTCTTTGGATCACAGCCTGTTACTATACGCCATTCATGACTTTCCATGGCTGGATAACAAATCTTGAGTGGCATTTCTCCAACAAGCTCATCCCAACGCGATTCAATAAGATCCATTATGGCTGAAGCTTGCTCGGGAGTTGCCAAAGATGATAAAATTGCAATGCAGTTACCCAAGCAAAACCAACGGAAATCCATTTTTGCAGGACTTACATTACCGATAAAATAACCACCACGAGTTGGCATAAAATCAAATACCCAATCAGGGAGGGAATCAGGCATTACATTGAATTTGTTCACTGCAGTATGTGAGTACTCCTCTGTCTTGTAACGATATATGTCATTAAGTTGTTTAATATCGAGCCAAAAGTAACTTCGCATGTGATAGCTTAGAGCATGTAGGCGTTTAGAAATTCTATCTGCACACTCCTTGCCCTCGTCATCATTCTTAAGTAGATTTAAAGCACATCTCAAGGACATAAAGAACAGTGCTTGTATCTCAATTGGATACCCATAAACACCCTAGATAAAGAACAAGTTAAAATATGTAAAATATATTTGTTCCACCAAAGTCCTAGTAAACACAGATTTGGTAGATTAAACAGCAAGAAAAAAAATGACTTTAAAGATTGAACAAAGTTTATCAGGAAAAGAGGAGAGATTGCATGAGACTCACCATTCTCCGATCAATCATGCAGCATCCATCAGCGCACAATAAGGTTGGGAATGTATCGAAGCCTTCTGACAGACATAAATTCAAGATAAGTCTAATGCCCCTTTGGCATTCGGGTAATTCGGCCAAAGTAGTGTCCCCGGTAGACTTAGTATATGCACGCAACAAAATAATCCACCAAAAACCCGAATCAATAGGAGCCACTCGACCAATAGCACATTCTCCAAAATCTGCAATTATAGTTTCGTAGTTCTTAACGGGGTCATGAAGCACTTTAAAGCTTGCTGGCATCACCCCTGCCCCTAAAGTGAATTGGTCTACCTTTTTCTCCCATGATTGGAGCCGCAGGGTTTTGAGTAGAAAATTCTTAACGATTGCGGGTTCACCGTTCATCAAGAAAGCCAGAGCACTAGGGACAAAATCTCTGACAAAGACCTGTGAGACACTGAAATGTTTAACCTTTTGTTTTCCGAACTTGATTCAGAAGATGTTGTTGAACAGGTTAGTCCACAAAAGCATAAGCAATTGAGTAATAATACTCACTGGACTGATGCCAAGAACTAAGAAATTTCTATTAGCTTTATAAATTAAGTAAGATATCTCAGATTCTTCAAATGTCTTGCATAGAAAAAGATTTTCAATTCATATTTTGGTGGAAAAATACAACAGAAATAAGACACATTCGAAGAAAACAAGCACATCCATGTTTATGATTATGTAAGAATGGTGTTTCATAAGAACATGAAGTGATCCCAAGAATAATTGCTATCTTTGTGCTTTGATATGATAAAGCAGACTGCTAATTAAATTATTTTCATTGATAACAAGTGCTAAATAGAGTAAATTTCACCTGGTCATAATTAAGTTCTTCAGCAGAATGATCCAATGCAGCAATAGTCCCCACTGGTTGCCCACGAAAATGGACTATTGACCGCTGCAAAAACACCCAAGCTTCGGCAAATATAGGATGTGACTCCACACAAGTAACTGATCTAGGAGTACCAACACTAGACCTGCCCGAAGAATAAAGACTTCCAAAATTGTCAAAAACACGCGATGAGTTCTCACTATTTCTATAAAACTGGCGGGGTGGGGATGAAATTGACATTTCACTGAAGGATCTCTCATCAAATGATCTCTTCCTTTCTATACTAAGAGGTCTAGGTTTGTCCAGTAATCTAGACAAATTAGTGTCTTCAATTTCAAACAATGACGAACCGGAGTCGTGATGTTTTAATGTTTCATTTTGATGAGCATCCAAGGTAGGAGACATCCTTTCCAAACGAGAGATCTGCAAATGTTCAAAGAAAATTTAATTTCAAATCAAAAGGAAACCAGAATGTCACATCTCTTAGTCAACCCACAAATATTTAAACTGATTTTACAGTTCCAAGCATGAAGCAACAGTACATCAGAAAAATTGTTAAGAAATATATGATTATTTTGTTAACATTATTTATTAAGGGTAGAATAGTCTTTTAAGTTTTCTTTATTTTAGACTATATATAGTCTTTTTGTATCTAGGTTTTATTCATTCAATTACATTATGCAGAATCAATAAAACCCTAGCCTCTTTTTCTTCTTCTCTTTGNTTTTTTGTGTGAGTTTCAGAACTCCTATTACTACATTTAGCTTAGTAAGTCTGACCAGATGAGTATAGTTCAGATGTCATTGTTAAGAAATATATGATTATTTTGTTAACATTATTTATTAAGGGTAGAAAAGTTTTCTTTATTTTAGACTATATATAGTCTCTTTGTATCTAGGTTTTATTCGTTCAATTACATTATGCAGAATCAATAACGCCCTAGCCTCTTTTTCTTCTTCTCTTTGAATTGTTTAACAACAACCTACAAAACGCACATTAAAAAGTCAACTTATAAAATTTGTCAACTTATTTGAACAAATAAATGCTTTCCAAGCACAAGCAAATCAGAGGCAAGAAATCCACATCATTAGGATGCATCATCAAGACTTTGTCTCTCAAATCTCAATAATTCAATTACATAATTAACAAGTGGCTGAATAGATTAGATAAGAAGGTCAAGACATTTATTGGAGAAAAAAAAAATAATTTGCAACTAAAAGAAACACAAATATTGAAAATAAAATAGCTAACATCCCCAGAAAATTCAAAGTATTATAAACTGCAGCTATGACAAATTGGTTTTCTCAAACCAACTTTGCAGCCTGGTGAAGGGTAAAATCTTGCATTGTTTCTGAAACTAATTAGGATAATTTTCTAGAAATTCTTTCTCAGGCTAAAAGAGAGGAAGGTGCAGAAAGCTATTTTACAAGATGTTGAGAGATAGAATTCCACGGCGAATAAAGATGAAAACATAAACCAACTTATAAAGAATTGTGGTACTCCTCTTAACAACGTTTTACTTTTAAGATGGAACCCAAATCTCAAAATGGACAAATTCGATCCGATTAAAATAATTAAAAAACATGTGAATTTCAAGATTGGTCTGCTGAAACGAGCCACCATCTCGCGGGGCAGGTTGAGGGATAGAATCACACGTCGACTAAAGATGAAAACATAAACCAACTTATAAAAAATTGAATTAATCCTCGTGACCTTTTAAGATGGAATCTAAATTTTAACACAAGAAACCTAAGCAAAAGGATGTCACAACCCGAACTCATCCTCAAGAGCTAGCTATTAAGGGAAGGGTGGCCAAAGGGTTATAAAGCCCACGGCCTAAACTTCCGATGTGGGATTAGGTGCCCATACACCCATATGGAAAGCATGACATAGAAATTCTGCCAAATGGGTCCTAACTACGAAAATATTATCAGGAACTCATAAAAATCTTTATTTTACAGTGCATCAAACAAAAATACAGAAATGCACATTTTTAGCAAAAAGTTTACACTTTTAAAAGGAAACGCATGGATCAAACAACAGAAAAAATAAGTCCTTCAATGTATCAATATGAACATGGGAAATCTAAACGAAAAATCAACAAAAAAAAAAAAAGGAAAAAGTTTAGAAAAAACCTCAGAGAATTCTTGGGAGGATATTATTCCAGTGGATAAAAGAAAGACCAAAAGAGTTGAATAAATGAAAGAAGAAGACTGTAAGCCAAATGAGGTCTATAAATGTAGAGTTGGTGATCGGTGACCAACCGGTTGAAAATTTGGGGAAACTGGATAAGCCGGTAAATGTTGGTCTAATGAAAATGAAATGTGACTGGCACATCGGATTTATGGGAAGGTCCGAAATGGGTTCGAGAAATCCCCGGCTGACTTGTCCTTTTTTAACGTGAAATTGTCCCAACTGGATTTAGGTTGGAAAATCCAAAAGGATCATCGCTCGTGTACATAGTACTTCTTACTCTCCTGTCTTTTAGGCAAATCTGGTACTTTTCCGTATAATTATAAGCGAGTTGAGTCCAAGGGCGCGTGATTCTGAAGCTTTGCAAGCGCACTTGCCATTGTAAACAGGCGATATCTTCCACAGATCTTCTCGGCATACCAACTTGGAATTGGATCGTACGTCTTGACACGTGGCAGAAATAAGTTGGTTGATATATATATTTTCCTTTTTCTTTTGGCCTTACTTTTCCCATTTCTCTTTTTTTTTTTCTTTTTTTTTTCTTTTTATGCTCCCAATTTCTGGTATGGATTTGTTCATTTGGGTAAAGAAACGATTTTTTCCAAATAAAATCAAAAATTTGTTTAGAAAAACGTAGTTTTTTATTGGCAAATCAGTTGTGCTACATGTAATTTACATACAAATAATGTGTCAAATAGAAAGTGAGGAAGTTTATTTCTTTTTGTTAGAAAAATTCTGATCCAATCATATCTTATTACGTCATGTGTATGTAAAGTTAAAACTATTATATAACTCCATTATATGCAAATAGTATTATTCTTGGTAAATTGTAAACACTTTACTCCGATGATACTTTTTAATCATTTGAGTGCAGAGATCAATATTCTCACTTCGGGAAAGATATTTTAGTTGATTATGTTAAGAAGGTGCACTTTTTGACACGTTCACTTGTCTTCCAATTTGTCACTTGAAAATATTGAACTAACTATAGGTCAACAACGTTTTGCTAAACAATTACAGAGCGATTTAGTCGTATTTTGGTCCACATTAGATTAGCATCAGAGCTAAGCACAATAGAACTACTTTTGATGCGATCGAGACATATTATGTACACTCATCATAGCATTGTCAATTTTGTTCTATAATGTACTGAAAGTGGTGTAGCAATAGTATCGCTAGGGAGACATTCAATATAATTTTTCAATGTAAAGTTGAGTAAAATCTTAATAAGAGTGGGCTACTTCCGAGTTGGAGTTTTAGGCCATCCAATTGGCCCTCGAGAGCTCGTTTCATTTCCACCATTGGTCCAATACATACACCAATCATACTATTACATGGTGATGACAAATGGATCAAGCCACTCGTGGGCTTGGCTCGTCTCAGCTCAACCCCTCAATTCATTTTGATACTGGCCATGGATCGAGTCGAGGTACCAGCTCACAAGCCAACTCGTTTGGACTCGTGTGTCGCTAAATTTTTTCCATATTTTTGAACTTGTTTTATCAATTTCTTAAAAATAAATTGCTCGTCTTTAGACATTTTGTTGATTTATGTTTTAAAAAAAGAGTCAGCTATGGTCAATTCGACTCATGAGACACACGAGCCAAAGGGTTGAGATGGTCCTAAGATTTGGACACAAGTCGAGCTCAACTCAATCCATTGCCACTCAATTATCACATAATATTTGGTCTAAGCACAAGTGTCATAAAATTATATTTTCTTTTGACCTCATCCTACAAAATTCAGTCAAAATAACCGAAAAACACATTAAAACTGAAAGAATCGATAATTTCCATGATAAATTACTTGTCCGCAACAAATATCATGCTCTATTGAAGGAATAACTTTCCCGGTGTCAACCATCTCTAATTAATAAAGATATTGTTCCTTAACACATTCAAACAAAAACTTCTCAAATGTGCAAGCAAAATCTTAATTGCCATGATATTAAAAGGACTTACTTTAACCTCAAATAAACTTGAGATGGCTTTCCTTTCATTTATAATGGAAGGTGCCTATCATCTTATAGAGGCACTAATTAAAAACAATGCTATAGAAGCTTAGCTTATTGGATGCCAAATACACGTTTAGGAGACATGGAGTAAGAACCACAGGGAGTCTTAACTCCCTAATGAGGAGAAACTTAGCTAGCTGATGGAGCAAACTCTGATGAACTTATGAGGAAGTTGATAAATCTCTAACAGTTGAGTGACAACAAAGGTGATATACTATATATCAGTAATTCGGTTTTTCATAATATTTTTTTTTAGTTGTCTTGGACCGCTTCCTCCTTACCCCTCTAACTTGAAGTTGTGAAAATTTAGAATGTCATTATTTCACAGGATAGAGAGTATAAATGAATATTAGTTTGGTTTCCTCTTCTTTCAGGATCGAGTTTGTGGCCAGTTTCAATTTGCCTAGCCCCTAAAAAGAGTGATTGAAATCTCGAGAATCTAAAAAAGAGTTTGTGGGTTAGGGGTTGCGGTTGGGTGGATTGGGAAAAAAGAATATTTTGGTCAACTGACGGATATTTGGATGGAAATCAGTAGAGATCCTTTAGGCCCATATTTATTCAAGGTTGAGACTTTCGCCGTGCATTTTGAACAGTTTAGAACCTCCGATGCAAATTTTCCTTTTTAATTAATTAAAGGTTAAATGATCATTTTGCCCTTTTCACACTAGGTCAACTTATGATCAAATACTTTTTTTTGCTCAACTAACGAATTTTTAATAGAAACATCCAGAGGTCCTTTTGTCGCACAATTTTGAAAGATTGGACCTTCGTTGCTACTATCTAAAGGTTTGGATGCAATCTGCATGTTTTTGAAACGTTGAGGACATCTGTTGCAATTATCCCAATTTTTAACTGATAACTCCAATGAGGCATTTGAAAAGCACGCACGTTGGTACCGGATTCAGTCCAAAGAGCACTACTACAGCACATATCATCGAGAAAAATTCGACCGTTGAGTCTCCTTTCTTTCTCCCCTTCTCTCCCTGCTCTCTGAAAACCCCAAAAATCCCTGCTGCATTATTTTATCCGCACGAATTTTCTCTATTTTATCCAATCTTCGCAATGGGGAAACGCATATCTTCCAACGAATCTTCCGACCGGGAAAGGAAATGGGATAAAGTTTTCAATGCTTTAGTGAAAATGTCGCAGAATCTACAAAAAGAAAGACAAATTCTTGAAGACCGAGTTAAATTTTTGCTCGATCTAATCTTCCAGGTAATACTAGTTTTCTTGTCAATTTTTATCTTTTGACGTGGGATTTATTTAGGGTTCGATAAAATGGATAATTTGGGAATTTTGGGAGCAGATGAAGATGGAGCAGAAGGTGGAGTCGGTGAAAGCGGAATTGATGATGGGCTTGAAAGAGAGAGAGGCTTTTATTTTCAAGCATAAATATGGTTAGTTTCATGTTTTCTTTTCCCTGTAGAACTATTTTAGTGTGTTTTTTGCTTCTTTTAATTTTTCCGATAAATTCATAATTTTTTGGAATTTGTGGAAAAGCTGAAAGGATTGGAATATTTTATTGAAATATCCAGAAGATCGATTATTATTATTATTATTATTTTGAAGAGTCGGGGCATTGCTGCTGAAATTACATTTTTCACTCTTGTCTTTGAAATGCAGAAGATACCGACAGTGAATTATCAGACTTCAGGGAATGGTTTGACTACCTCTCTGAGAAATGTGCTGAGTCAAAGGCATGTTCAGTAATCAGTACTATATTGTTGAAAATTGACGTATTTGGTGATTTTCCAATTTACGCGATTTTTGAAGTGAATAATCTAAGTTGCAGGTTATATCAAATGATGCTAGTACTGCAAGAGAAGTCCGTGGAAATATGGCATTGCAAAGTGAAGTGAGGAGGCTGAGAGGTGAAATCGAGAAATGTAATTCGGAAAAGAACTCAGAGGTTTCTGCTCTATTGGCAGAGAAGAATTTTATATGGAACCAGTACAAAACAATGGAGACTGATTTGACAGATCAGTTGAGGAGAAAATGTGCTGAAGTTGAATATTCAAATGGGAAAATAAAAAAACTTGTGAGCAAAATGGAGGAATTACAGTTTTCTAATGAAAACTTAAGAACTGATCTTGCCATGTTGGAATCTGACTCGAACAAAAAGAGTGAAGAAATTTCGAGACTTTCGAAAGAATTAGAACTCATAAAGTCCAGATCAGGGTCTGCAACACCGGTATTACGGCCCTGCAGGGAGGGATCAGGGACGTCGAAGAACAGTAGCATGGAAGGAAGGGCTATAACAGTGAGAAAAGAAATAGATTCTTCACAAATCGTGGCAAAGGTTCCTTCTTATTGATGCTTTAGCGTGCATTTTTATCTTTGATTGTTACCATCCTAATTTTTCAAGGGCTAATTTCAATTTTAACTTTTTTACCCAGGCATGTGGCATTATAATTTGTTCGATTCAATAGTGTTAATATAGCTTAGCTCACAGTTGTGCAGTAGATTATCACATTAATAAGTCAATTAGTGAGATTTTAGAAATTTTCCTGGTATTAGTGATCCTCAGATGTGGTGATGGCCTAATGAGGGAATACTGTGACTTGGTACTGATGCAGAACCTCTTGTTGCTGCATGTGCCATTGAGTGAGATCACATAATATCTTCACGTTCAAAATATCCTGATCTTCAAAAGTTTGAAATGGTGAAGTTCTTTATCTGTGAACCTCATAGCTAACAGAAGGTGCACACATGTAGATATCTTTATTTTTCAAAAGCAATCGGTTGTTAGAAGAGGATTTGCTTATAAGAGCTAGAGCTTGTAAGATTTTCCTATTAAGCTATACATATGCTTATCATGTGATGGTGTCGGTGTTTGCTTATAAATTGCAGAAACTAAGCACTTTAAACTGCTTATAAGCTCTTTCAAATTGTGAAATAAGCTATGAGATCTTGTAATCTCTCAAAAGGTTTTACTGTATTTGTCTACTATTGGTATATGCTTTCGAATCTTGATGGAGTAGAGTGAAAGAACAAAACTTATCTAGCCCCTTTTTTGGTATTGATTAAAATCTGATTTTAATTCCAAATCAAAGCCAACAATTAATTTTAACCACAAATTTCATGGGCCCACAACTTTTCAACTACATATTTCATCAATTTTTATCAAAATCTAATAAATTCTAATTTTAATCTACATCAAACAGGGGCGTACTCTTTTCCAAAAAAGTACGGGTTAAGGCTTTAACGAGTTTAGTATAGACATGGTTGTCTGACGTGTGTGCTAGTTTTATTTTTAGCATGCAGAAACACTTGCTGGATGCCATTCTGCCCCTTCCTATCACAAGGGCGAATTTTCTCCTTTTGTAATCTTCTTTCTTCGCTTTTCTTTTATTCCTTCAGTATCGTCTTCTCTCCTTTTGGATCTTTTTTTTATCCTTTCTTCTCTCTTTGGTGCTTTGAATAAATGGATTTGTATAGCAACCTAGACATATCATTTGCTTAATAATCTTGTAGTCTCTTTATTCTAGGATGAATATTTCGATGCCTCTTCTAGCATATGCTAATTCTTGAAATTACTTGGCTCCCTACTTACTATTCAAATGAATCATATCTCAGTAGTCTCTGGTCATCAATCTCCATTTCTGACCAGGCAAAATTGTAGTGATGATTTTCACAATCTATTTCAGAATTCCAAAAATTCCACAAGTCAATTTCCCTTAGTGAACTTGGATGCTAGTATTTTAAGATGTCATGGCACTAATTTGGGTTTCTGTGATTCTATAAAGTTTCATGCATCCTTTTTGGGAAATCTAATTTTCCCATAACTGCATTTCAATTGAGTAGGCTTGTGGGTTTCTTGTGACATTTTATTAGTTTTTTCTGTATTTGGGAAATCTGCAGTTCGCACCTACAAAGCCAACTGCTCGCAAGTCTACCGGAGGAAAAGCTCCCAAGAAGCAACTTGCTATTAAGGTTCCATCCCTCATCTCATCTCTGATTTTTCTACTTACAAACTCATGCATTTTTTAAATTATATACGTATATGCGTATGCATTTTCCAATTCTAATAAATATTAAGAATTGTGGAACTAAGCTTGATTTTTTTTTTTTTTTTTTCTTTTCTGCATCTCTCTCTTTTGTCCCTACTTGTGTCCATCTAGATCTGCATTAACCCTTGCACCTTGCGCTTGCTATCTAATCTTGACTTATGAACTATCACGGTGTGTTGATATAAAGTAAACCTCAAGGACCCGAAAATGGTGAATGCATCTTTAAGTACTGGTTGGATGAGAAAATCAATGGCGTGTAATAGGTGGCAAGAGATGAAGATTTTATCCGGTTACCTGTAAAGAATGCGAAAAACACGACAAATTCTACTACTAAACTCATTTAGTTTTTTCAAATTGTGATGGTGCAGGGAAGTGGTAGTTCAAAGAGAAAAGCTGATGTGATCATCATTCCAGATACTCCCAAATTGTTTACATCCTCATTTAAAGTCCCCAAATTGAAGAATTGACCCACCAAATGGTTCTATACTAATGAGTGTGTGATTTGTACTAGCAAGTGTATTTAGTTATGTGCTGCAATTCATGTTTGGCCGAGGATCTTTAGCATTTACATATGTAAATTTACTATTTGTAATTTTAAATCTTTAATTCACAGCTTTTGCATTTCTGGTTGTATCTTCTACTTATTAAAAGTAGTCTTAGTAAAAGAATTATGCCTTCGTTTAATATTTATTTTGACACAAAAAAATATAAACATAATTGTTTTATTAGTAAAATTTTGACTCTAACAAAAAATATTATAAAAATTGGATCAGACCGGAAAAAAGCCCATGACCCTAGGACATAGATGGACAGCCCAATTCATAAAACTGAGCCCAGTCCAACTTTGAAAATTTAGATAGAAATAGAGAGGATGTGTCCGTTTAAATTCTCAAGAAACAAGAAAACCCTTTCACTCTCTCTTCTAGCCATCAAAATATTCTTTTTCCTCCAAATTACATTCAAATATACAATTTAAACATAGAAAAATGCCTTCAGAAGATTCAAAACCGGTGAAGACAGAGGGAGTTGTAGATGAAAGATAAAGAACAGAGCATAGAAACAGCTTTCGGAAACCGCAATAAGAAATCAACCAATAACAGCAATGCCACCCCCAAAATCCCAGAGTAAAGTCAAGAAAGAAGAAAACAAAGTGAAAAAGGAACTAGAAGAAGAAGAATTTGATGAGCCCACCTCGAAAACGACGTCAAGGAAAGCTGATAACAAAGTAAGGATTTTATTTTTTTTGTGGGCATCTTGTGACTGAATAATGAATTTGTTTTTTCTTTTTATTTATTTGGATTTTGTTAGGGACAGCAAAAGAAGAAAAATGAAGAGGAGGAGAAGAAAAAGGGGGCCAAAGCAAGTGACAAGGATGCTAAGAAAAGGGAAAGGAAAGTTTATGATTTGCCTGGTCAAAAGAGGGATTTTCCCGGGGAAGTAAGTTTTTTTTCTTTTTTTTTGGGGGTGGGGGGTGTGATGTAATTGATTTCTCTTGAATGGGATTTGCAGAGGGATCCATTGAGGATTTTCTATGAGTCTCTGTATGAGCAAGTGCCCTCTAGTGAGATGGCTGCAATTTGGTGAGTACTTATTCTTTTGAAACCTCTATATAACTTTTATTAGTCCCAATTCCATTTTCTATTGGTTTTCTGTTTTTAATGTTTTGATTTCTTGTTTACCTGAATACTGCAATTGAACTATGAAGGTTCATAACATGCAGTGTCTCAATCCATTCAACGGTCTTGAATCCCTTGTCGTAGTCTGATTTCTTTAGGCCTTCAATAGAATTAGAGGGAAAGTGACATAGTTTCCAGATAATTCAAGTCTTGGTGCATTTTTGTTAATTATGGCAGTTTCTTCTCGTTGAAAAAATTAAAATACACTATGGAATGGCAAACCTTGGAGGCTTTTGGAAATGCAAAGTGAAAGGACCATTTGAAACAGCATTTGTACGTAAAAAATTATAAACATAAATTCAAATGTGAAATCATCATATTGATCATCAAGTTTAGGCCTTGGAAACTGTTTTTACGAGCTTCAAGAGAGATCTTCTATCATGTGTTCCATTAATAAATTTGTTGTAGAATCATTAAGTGTTTAATTAAATAAATCGAGTTCTCTTATTGTATCTTTAATAATCATATAAAGTCTTTGTTTATATAGCTGGGAGCTTGAGCTTTTATTGTCTTTATTCTTTAAAAATGCATCATCATTCTCATAAAAACTACACTTGAGAAACACTATTTCCACAGCTCATTTAATGCGTCTGATATTCAAATTAGTTTTCTCTGGTTGTGATTTTGATTCAACCAGTTTGCAGATTTGGTCTGATCTTTCTTATCTGTTCATCAGTTTGCAATCCAAATTTGTACCTGCCATGTACAAAACACAATTGAGTTTTGTGCAGATTTGGGTTACTTTGCATGAAACGAGAGGTTCATTCCTATCCTTTTGCCATTTAAGAATAATTGTTAGCCATGTCTACTCGATGGTGTATACCCTCGCTTTTTATGTCTATTCTGTCTCTGTTCCATGCTGCTTAGCAGCCGATTAGAGAGTGCAGAATAAATGCATTAGTTGCTTGAGATGTGGACTGGTAGTAGTAATCATCTGAATTTTTTTTCTTAATTTGTGAAATTATTCAGTGTTTAATTTAAAGGTGTGAAACACTTTCTAGGTGTTGAATTCCCAGGAAGAGAATTCTCATTAAACTCAAATTTGTTTGAATTTGATACATACGGTACCATGTGGTAACATCTTTCCTGAAGATGATTTAATTCGTTTGCGTCATGGACAAGCACAAAGTAATTGTATAGTGGTAGCATTTGGCATTTGATGTTACTGTAGTTATTAATATTTGAATGTAATTGTAGGATGATGGAGTCTGGTTTACTTCCAAAGGAGGATGCGAAGAAAGTTCTCGAGAGAAAACAGAAAAAAGCCCAGCAGCAAAGGCTCGGCTCGCCAATGAAATCTGTCGTCACTGTTAAGAAGAAAGATGAATTGATCATTGTAAAGAAAAAATCATCGACGTCTCCTGTTTCAACACAGAAAAAGAAGACACCTGATTCTAAAGTTGCTTCAAAGCAGTCAAAGAAGCGCAAGAGCGACGATATCTCTTCAGACGATGACTTTGTAACGGATGCTAGAAAAACAAAGAAACAGAGAGCATCCTAGTTTAGTTTATTGCTGATCGATTGTTAATTAGAGCTGAATCTTGAACCAAGACGCTAATTTCCTGTCAATGGTTCTTCCCTAATTGCTGTTGTCTCGTATTTCACATCTTTCTGCATTATGGAGTTAAATGTCACTGAATCATGGTACATTTACACCAACGGATTCCGGGTTTCTTGACATCTTGTATAAGATGTGACTTCCCAAATTGGTGCGATTATTATTCATCTTTTAGCCAAAAATTCAATGAACTACTCGTGGACAACGGTTTTATAAAAAAAAAAGAAAAAAGGAATCATTTCTCAATTTCTCGAACTTTTTTGGGATTATGGGGCCAAAATATATATTTATTATTACATTTTTTGGAGATGTTTTGATTTACCTGCTTCTCTCTCTCCCACTGTGTACAGGAAGTAATCTCGTCTTGGATTTACTATTTTGGCGAGCAGTACCTAAGATTGTGTTTGGTAGGGATTTTTTGGAGGAAGAATTGATTTTTGAATAGTGATACGAGGAGAAATGTGTGGTTGAAAAAGAAGAAAAAAGTATTGATGTGATGAAAAATATTATTTTATTGAAGAATGTGTAGTTGAAAATGAGAATTAATTTACTGTAGAAAAATCTAATCCCTCCCAGACAGGGTCTAAAACTGTGTGCTTACCTCATCAAAATATGACTCCACATGGCTATTTTCTTGAAAAAAAAAAAAAAAAGAAATAATGAGGAAAAGGGTGAAATATTTTCCTTTATGGCATTCTGTAATTTTGAATAGACATAATCAAACCAAACGAAAGGCATCAAATGATTACGATGTTCAGACATATACTGGAATGTTACACAAACATTGAAATGGTAAAAAGATGGAAACAAACTGGTACACTGAAAGGGACCATTGCATCACTTGGTAGTAGACAACAAGAAGGAACAACCGATAACAAGAACTACTAGCGGCATATCATGTAACAAGTACCGATCAGTACTACGTAGCAAACATGTTAGCCCTCATACTGCTCTTCAACGCCCTCCTCCTCGTAGTCGTCTTCTTCCTCTGCAGTGGCATCCTGGTATTGCTGGTACTCTGCTACCAGATCGTTCATATTACTCTCAGCTTCAGTGAACTCCATTTCATCCATCCCTTCTCCAGTGTACCAGTGCAAGAAGGCCTTGCGTCGAAACATGGCCGTAAATTGCTCGCTCACTCTCCTAAACATTTCTTGAATCGAAGTTGAATTACCTATGAAAGTCGATGCCATTTTCAGGCCAGTTGGTGGGATATCACAAACACTAGACTTGACATTGTTTGGAATCCATTCAACGAAGTATGATGAGTTCTTGTTCTGCACGTTAAGCATCTGTTCGTCGACCTCTTTGGTGCTCATTTTCCCTCTGAACATGGCGGAGGCTGTTAGATAACGTCCATGACGCGGGTCAGCAGCACACATCATATTCTTCGAGTCCCACATTTGTTGAGTTAGCTCCGGGACAGTGAGAGAGATGTAGTGCTGTGATCCACGAGAGGTGAGTGGTGCAAATCCAACCATGAAGAAGTGAAGACGTGGGAAAGGTATCAAGTTCACGGCCAGCTTCCGGAGGTCTGAGTTCAGCTGGCCGGGAAATCTCAAGCAACAGGTTACCCCACTCATAGTTGCAGAGATCAGATGGTTCAAATCACCAACTACAACCACGAAAATTATAAACACAATAAATGTTAACATAAACTAAAAACTTATGACATGTTTGGTCGAAAGGATCGCAAAGGACTAGAGAGTGTTTAAGTAGGAAAACAGCTGAAATCTTTTCTATGATACAATCCAGTCCTATTTGGTAGTGCTGACCAAACATGCACTTACTTTTCTTTATTCTAGAAGTTAAAATGTGGGTACTCACAGCTTGGATTACTGAGCTTCAAGGTCCTGAAACAGATATCATAGAGCGCTTCATTGTCAAGGACCATACATTCATCCGCATTTTCCACCAGCTGGTGCACTGAAAGTGTAGCATTATAGGGTTCTACAACGGTGTCCGAGACCTTTGGCGATGGAAAAACAGAGAAAGTGAGCATCATTCTGTCTGGGTATTCCTCTCTTATCTTTGAAATCAAAAGGGTACCCATGCCAGAACCTGTCCCTCCTCCAAGCGAGTGACATACTTGAAATCCTGCCCACATAATACCATTTAGAGAAGCATATCAAACATAATATGTATTGCATTAGTTTTCATTGACCAGCTCCCAAAAGGAACAATACTGCAAAAACACGGCATTGACTGTTGCCAAAATAAAATATTAATCTAAGATTCTTTATCAAAAAGAAAATACTGACTGAAAGCATATATAACAAGAAACCAATGTGTCCCAGACGGTGAAAAAATAATTGGCTAAGCTTCATTTTGATAACAAAGAAAGCACTGTGGGTTCCATGACTAAAATCTCAGTAAATGCAGTGCCAAGTCCAAACAAAATTGATGAGAGGGATAAGAATATAGACAATCACTTATGATTCAAGAACACTCTCTACCATCAATTTACAGCAAAATAAAAGTGAATAACTGAAGTTCTATACAATTCTTTACTAATTTAATTCAACTGATAAACTCAGTGACCTTCAGAAACCGTCTCACAGTGTTGGATTGTAGTTGAGTAATATATATTAGTGATTTACCGGCATCTCAAGTAATGCTTGATATTTTACCAGAAAAAGAAAAAGAATAATTCTTTCTAGCGCCTGTTTAGGTGAGAGTGGCGGCCCACCTTTAATTGTCCAATAAATCAAAATGCATCATAACTTCATTGGACAATAAAGTAGGCTCTCGCTGGTGCTAGATAGCATTATTCAAAAAAATGTGGGGAAATTAAAGTGAAAAACATAAGGGTAGGTGTAATAGTGTGACTGACAACCATACTTTACGGACATTAAATTCCTAATTACATGTGGAAAATATGTCCTAAATTGGGCCTCTTGTCAGGACTGAAATGGCCAACATTTAAAGTGTGTTGGACTAGGCCCGTCACTTAGAAAAATTGCAATAACAAGCATGGCCCAGAGGAAATGGGGCCAGCCCATGTAAGTTGAGTCAGGCCACTTGACGTGGGCCAATTATATTATTCTATTAAAAAAATTTGAAGAAAAATCCAAATACGTCCCCACCTCCAACACCAACAGCCAAATAATTATATTCAACACCCCCCCCCCCCCCCCACCCCCACCCCCACCCCCACCAAGTCTTGTCAAGAAGATGTCATTCAGTGGCATGTTTGTCTTCTCCAAACACCCCCCCCCCCCCCCCCCCCACCCCCAACCAAAAAAAAAAAAAAATCACGCCCATCCCCATGCTGGGCCAGGACAGATTACACCTCTAAAAAAGTAATTCTTCATCATTGGGCAAGGGTAAAAAAACTGTCGGTGATATAGAACGACTTCATTAATACAGATCAAATAATTCAAGCTAAGCATTATTTAAGAACAAGGAGTATGATTTCAGGTGTCTCCATTTTTTGGACAACGGTGCCCACAAGAAATAGTAAAATATCTGACACTAAAAATGTAAAATATCAAAGACTGTACAAACACGATTAAATAAACAAAATTGCAAAAAAGGTAGATCCACCGCATGACAAATGTAATTCTAAAAGTAAGAACTTGAGAGTTATTTCGTCTGCTTCTCAAACAAAAAGTTATCCATCAATTATGCATTTTATCTAAAAGCCCAGCACCTTTTAGCACGCAGTCACTCATAATTTTTCGACCTTTCGAGTATAATCATTGACAAGAAAAAGTAGCCCAATCACCTTTATTGTTCAACCAAGGATTGAAATGAGAAATTTCCATACATAATTAGAAGGAAATGGCAATAATGTGAATTGAAATATTTATTTTCAGATCAATCAAGCGATCGATTTTAATAATCTGGGGAGAAAATAAACCAAATCACTTAATCTTCAATATCCGCACGCACCAAGTACATCTGAGAACCATAGATCTCAAAGAGCCATGCCTAAATCAATTCTTTGAAAACCAAAAACAACATAAAAGGCAAGATTCCACATTCAATATCTAGGCATTGCAACAACTAAATCCAAAAATTCAGAAAATCATTAAAAAAAGGAAGTTGAAACATATTCACAGCATTACTGAAAAACTCTAACATACATGGTATAATATATCCATTAAAAGAAAATAAGAATGACAATGGAGGAAGACGTTCAACCTTGCAAGCAATCACAATTTTCCACCTCTTTACGCACAACATCAAGAACGGCATCAATCAACTCAGCGCCTTCCGTATAATGCCCCTTGGCCCAGTTATTCCCAGCCCCAGACTGCCCAAAAACAAAGTTATCGGGCCGGAAGATCTGCCCATACGGGCCGGATCTAATGGAGTCCATGGTCCCAGGTTCGAGATCCATTAAAACAGCCCGCGGAACATACCTTCCCCCGGATGACTCATTGTAATACACATTGATCCGTTCCAACTGCAGGTCGAACAAACCTTCACCAGACTCACCCTTAAACCTACCTGTCGGATCAATCCCGTGCTCATCACAGATTACTTCCCAGAATTTGGACCCAATTTGGTTCCCGCATTGGCCTCCCTGAATGTGCAAGATTTCCCTCATTTTGTGTGGGTTTTCGTTTGGTTGTTTCTGAATAATATTTGATATTTTTATGGGCAGTTAGTGGAAATGTTAAGAGAAAGCAAGAATTATTGGAGGGAGACATTTGAAGAGGCCCCGCAATTCGTGCAGTGTCAAGTTCCAATAGAAATGAAATCGTATGTGATTGCATCAAAGTCGTTGTGAAGAACGGGAGAGACTTATATGCGCGATTTTTGGCGCCAAACGGTCCTTTGTTGCGTGTTTGGGACACGTTCTTTTTATCAAAATTAAAAATAAATAAGCTATTTAAGTTACTTAATTATCATAATAAAAAGGAAAGTACTATATGTACATAATTTTGTATATAATGGTGTATATAATTACACGTGACACTGGATCCAACCTTTAATTCAAATCTCACACTTTCACATCAACAGTCAAATCTTGTCCACATCACATTATGAACACCATTATGTGACCAAATTATGTACACTTAGACTTTCCTAATAAAAATTAAATGGGTTGTTTAGGAAAGTATTTGATGATCCTAATATCGGAGAGCAACCCGACCACTGATTCCGAGGAGGTGAGTGCCCATTTTATGGGACTCCTCCAAAATATCCTCGGGGTTATCCCTCCTCGAGCTCGGGAATCCGCGCTGCATTAGGATCTCTCTCTAAGACAGGATTGGTCCTACCCCAAGAAGGGAAGTCCTACTATTATCGTAATACCTCATCCTAAAAAGACTATACCACCAGAATTCTATCATAATCCAAACACACGGGCAATATGAAACCAACTACATTACGACTTCCAGTTGCACTAGGACTCCCAGGATTCTCAACATTATAGTCATACTAGGAGTTCTACACCTACCTCTGTAAATACATCATTCTCATCAGTTATCAAGGTATGTTTTTCACACAATTTACAGTATCACCTATTTTCATAAATTCTCTCCCTGACTTAAGTATCGGAAGGGCGACGAAGTCACACCTCGACGCCTTTGTTTTAGGTACCGGAAGGCCTCGTTCTTACTCATTCTCAGTCGTCAAACTCGAAAGTCGACAAGTATGATTTTTGGTAGCATCAGTGTTAAATAACAATCTTTAACACACTTTAAGATCGAAATAAGTAACTTTTTTCTTTATACAAAGAAGTAACTTAACTATTTCCAACAATTCATCAACATACTCCGCAACTCGAATAATTTAAAAATTTTGGAAAGCATAATCAGAAACTGAGAAACACCAAAAAAGCCTTCATTTTGTTTTCCCCTCTACACGAAAAATACACACATCTAATACGTACAACAAATCTTAAATACACAAGTAGAATCGATAAAATATGCGGTTAAATGAAGGATTCTTCAAAGATCGAAAGCTTCTCTAACGAACCATACTCTCATTGCAGTACTTCTTGAAGTTCACACATTCTTCAACAACAAAGTCACTGCCAAAAGGATTCATAGATGAAACCATTACGCGTGAACCAGAATGCTAATGAAACCTTTTGACCAAAAAACGAGGTAGTACTTACAAGATTCGCCCAGCCATTTCTGATGCTTCCCATCTGGGACTCCACCGATAGTCAGTCAACAGTGGTGACTTCACAGGCGCGCCATTGGAAATAAAATGCTAGATCCACACACATTAATTTCATTATATATCTGTCTAACCATAGTTAAAAGCACGGAATTGACGGGGTTATTGGGAAGCTATTGATAACAGGTTCGAAGCTAATGAATTTTCACCAGGTGGGTAATAGATTGAGACTTGAGTGAAGGTGTTTCTTACCATCTGAATCAGAAACTGAGATAAAATGATGGGACCACAACATGGAACTTATTTGGCTAAGCTTAAAAAGTTTACTTGTAGGTAAAAAAGTTTTTAGTGGTCTAGAGTGAGAATAAGTTACTTAGTATGGCAATAAAGTAAAATAAGTAACTATTTCAACTTAAGAAGAAATATATCCGAACATGTTTACAGATAAAAAGTGAGACTTTCACTTGTTTTTGAACTTGGCCAACCATGCTCTTGATTTATAATAAGTTGTCTACAAGTGTTACCACTCTCATAAGAAGAAAGATCATTCACCTGTGAACTTTGAAGTATCAAAGTTGGTTTCTGCTTCGGAAACTGAAGAGGAATGGAAATATGCACCTAATAAAACATGTTCTGAGTAAGACAAAGGCAATAAAATTACAAAAATCAGAACAGGACGCCCTATGTAGAAAACAATGTTTTCCCAAGGAGAGAACAGTCAACATACAAAAAAAGAGTAACTAAATAGTATGAAAATAGGTACTTAATCTTGACAATTATTCATCACTTGGAGAATCCTCAACCATAATAGAAAAGGCAAGTCATACCAATGAGAATGTTCTTCCGTTATCAATCTTTTGGCACATGGAGGAAAGTAGACAGTCGAGCACCAGGCTTGCCATTCATTTTCTTTATTATTATTATTATTTTTTTATTTTCCAAAAGAAAAAAAAAAAAGAGGAGGAAGAAGAAGAAGAAGCTAGCATTTTGATTTCTTCATTAAGTTCTTTATTTTTATTTTTTTACTATGTGGGGGTTTAAGGGGGAGATATGGTCTGGCTAACGATTTCAAAAAATACCTAAAAAGCTGAACACTTAAAAGTACAAACATAGGAAAGAATATTTTGAAATATGGAAGGTAGAAACAAGTCGAGTTTAATCTCTAATAAACAGGGATATTAGCTGCCATCCTGGTGCAGGAGACCAGAGAAATGTTTCCTGGTAACACATCAACAATTTTTTAGGAAAGAAAAATATCTCAGCAGTATTTCTTGCCATAAATGGTGTAAACTGTAATCTCATGCTATGAATGAATTAACATCCACATAATGACTCCGGTAAAGATCACCCCTAATTAACTTGCTATGAACTGTTCTCCAACTACTACTAAAAAGATTTATAGATGATTAAACACCAAAGAAGAAAACTTTATACTATTAATCCATGTAAGGTAAGCAGTATTAAATGAATAAGGTTCTAGCCTCTTTTATTCTTCATAGTGTCCAGGTTATCTGATCCTTCCTAGCTATTGGTGATTTGCCAAAAAGTATGATTACTTCCCATGAAACTCCCAGGTAAAAACGATAACAAGTTAAACCTTATTCCCAGTAAACTATTTGTCAGCTATACAAATTCTTTTCTGCCAATCCATTTGATCTAGTTCTACTTTCAACTCCCAGAAAAATGGCAAGAATAATCCAGTACATAAATGTTGTTAACAATGGGTGTCACTGCCGTCAAGTCCCCTAATTCACCAATTCTGCATAACAAACTCCTCTTAAAACCATCAAAAAAAAAAAACATGGCAATCTTTTGATCACATCCTTGTTCAAGATATATTACCACTTCAGCAGATATCAGGCAGAAAATGGCAGCTTTTGATTCACTGTCTCTTGGTGAGACAAGGGAAATTCGGGGAGGTGTAAAGGTAAACTGTCAGTAACAGATTCTCCAAGACTTAAAATTTATGTGTGTAAGCAAGAAACAAGAAAAGCTTCTTAAACAAAATTTATTGCAGAACTCTGAACAGAAAATCAAAACAAGACAAAAAGACAGTATATAAAAACTCAAGTTACAAAGGCTATTGAATCAGTAAAAATTCGGGGAGGTGTAAAGGAAAACTGTCAGTAACAGATTCTCCAAGACTTAAAATTTATGTGTAAGCAAGAAACAAGAAAAGCAAAATTCGGGGAGGTGTAAAGGAAAACTGTCAGTAACAGATTCTCCAAGAATTAAAATATATGTGTAAGCAAGAAACAAGAAAAGCTTCTTAAACAAAATTTATTGCAGAACTCTGAACAGAAAATCAAAACAAGACAAAAAGACAGTATATAAAAACTCAAGTTACAAAGGCTATTGAATCATTTTCATTTTATTTTATCCATTGGGCTACACTTTTTATACAACAAAGTGGTACAATGGTTATATCTGATGCAATACAAATGTAAAAGGCAAAAATACATTAAGTGCCCAAGAATATGTCCTACCAGAAAAGTGAACACCCCAGAACAAGCCAGGAAAGTCGCCTTTCTGCAGAAAACCTGGAAATCGGAGCAAGGAGGACTTAGCATCTCTCTTTATCAAACAATATAGCAATTAGCAGTCAGTTATTTGAAGTTAAAGAAGCCAGACCGGATCAGCTTCTAATGGTCTTCCGAACAGAGGCTCCAAAACCATAATAAACTTTCTTCTTACTTCAATCGATGAGACTGCATCTATAATCTATTGAAAAAAAGATAGAAAATATTATATCAAAAAGTGGAACCAATCAATCTAGTGAGCATTATTGTGGTTATAATTTAGTTGAAGATACAATTCTTTATAGAAAGTGGCAAACCTGTGCTTGCAGCATCTCCTCTAAAGTTGGAAGATATTCAGCCATGCACCTGTAGAGGGAAAAGGAAAGACAAATTTGAGACTTGACAAGAGAAAAGTTGAAACCTTCAGAAAGTGGGCAGTCAAAAATATCGAAAATTTTACCGTAACAGATTCTGAACTTACATGCCCTCCAACCAAGGAGGAAGTTTAAAATCATCAACAGAAAATAGAGCCTTCAATTCAGCAGATGACACCAACTTCAGATGTGGGGCTGAAGGAGACTTTTTACCAACTGGAAACATAACCTACAGGCATGTTTAATTTGGTGAAGCTGTAAGTTTAAAAGTGACAAAGTAATAAGTTCTGAAAGGCTTGAGGTGAAAATGGTGGATTATCACAAACTCACACTAAGCCCCCATTCTTTCAAAACTCTTTTTTCTACATACTCATTTTCAGCCACACATTCATGGCATGTTTGAGCCCTATTTTTGGTGTAAAATATATTTTGAAATAGTAGATTGATTGAGAATGTGTGATTGAAAATGAAGGAAAAGTTTTTGGGTTGCACATAATATTATTTTATCGAAGAATGTGTGGTTAAAAAGAAGGGAGAAAAATATTTTTTTAAAAAAATGGGAGATCAACAGAATAAAATATTCTACACGTAAACTCAAAATATTTTCCCTACTTTTTAACGACACGTTCTAAAAAAAAATCACTATTTAAAACAATGTTTTTCCAAAAAAAAAAGGCTACCGAACAAGGGCTAAAACAGTTGTGTCTGAAGTATATATTTCAATTTGTTTAGTAAATGAGAATAACAATTTATTTTTAAGTGGTGGAGAATGTCAATTTATTCAAGTGTAGAAGAGTATGATTTGAATTTATTCAAAAGATTTTTCATAATAAGTTACTAATAAAACTCTTTCCAAACACTTAAATACACGACAAAGTATTGTAAGCAACGCATTTCTGCCAAGATCCAATTAAATAAAAAATTTTACTAATAAAACTTCTTTTTTATATACCATATATATAACTAAAATTTCCATTTTGGTATGCGAAATGGAACTTTTAGGTCCTATTCAATTGATTGTGGAAATCATAACTTCATGATACCAGGTAAATTGGTTGTTAAGACTGATATCATACGATATTGGGCATGTGTGCAGTGGGCGGAGCCTTTATAAACTGTATGCAAAGCATGAATGGAGATGAACGGTAAAGAAGTTAAGAAAAAGGGTAGGTACTGCAACGTGATATTAGTCTTTTCATTTACTTGTAGCATACTTTTTATTTAAAGGGCTGAAAGACCCAGAACCTTTAGACAAACTAACCTGTAAGTATACCCTTTGTGGGCGTTTCCAGGTGGACCCAGCAACCAATTTATTTATATCCATCTCCAATAAAGGTACCGCAAATCTAACCTCTTCTGGCTGCACTACAATTAATGGCATAGTGACCGCCACGAGAGTTAACTTATATATACAACAGTGGTCCATTGCAGGATGAAAATTTGTCATGCATCCTAAATTACCTTGTCAATGTCTGAACTCGTACACATTTCAATTCCCTGTGATAATATCATGAAATTTAATCAGTTTTCTAAGCCTCGTGCAAGAATTCAAGCCTACAACAAGGGAAGCAATTTCTTTGAAGGCAAAAATTATGCAAAGATGCGTACATCCGAAAGGGATAAATGAGGGCCAAATTGTGGAATAACAAGCAAGAATCAGAGGGTCAATCTAGTTGTATATATTCCTACAAAAGTAAAAGGAAAGAAAAACTTCAACATATAAGATGTTAACAATTGGTGAAATAAGGCAGGTGTACACTAGGTCACATCTCCCTGCATGGATTTAGACCTACTTGTGCCTCCTAATACGAGTTCCACAAAACATGGGACACCAAAACTAATTATCCACTGATTGAGATCAAGCTTTAAAAGATAAACACAAATAAATCGCGGAACAAAAAAGGTATATGATTTTTCATCAACCAGTTGGTCTCAACACTCGATCAAACTATGAAATGAAACCTTATATAATAAAGGCCCAACTTTGTGCTCGATTCGAGCTTCTAAAATAATTGTAAAGATGCAATTTATTGCTGTAATCAGGGCACGCAAAATTGACATCAAATGTACAATCGTCAAAAGGTCCGTGCCCTAGCTACCACATAATGCTTTATGACAACTTCAACAATTTTATACTTTTAAATAACCATCAAAGTAACATCGGGTGCCTAGATACAAGACCAGTTGTATACATAATTTATCATTACAATATAAGATTGTGTGCATTATCACATTGTCATATTGAAACTAATCAAGCTTCACATAGCCCATTTTCTTATCAGCATTGAATGACGGAAGTGTTGTTTAAGAATTTCGAATTGCATTTTCCATACAACTTAAGCATAGCATCAAATGATACAGAAAAGAGCTAAAGATAACTGCACTCAAGCACAAAATGGATCACACTTACACACCTGGAAACACAGAAAATGCACAGAAGCTCAATATTTTTCTCCATAAATGGTGGTAACCCATCTAACACTAACCTCTCTCAAAAACATAGTGCTGAGTTCGAATTTCAATCTATCATCGTCAACCTCTCCAACACGTTTCTTCTGGTATGTCATATACGCATCCCTAGAATACAAAATAAAACAAAGACCCCAAAACTCACATGAACATTTAAAAAGATCAAAAAACATTAAAATTTTCCATACACTGCAGAAATTATATAGTAAAAAAAAAAACCTAACCTGAGCTCAACAACAAGTCGCAATAGCCGACTAGGATCCTTGCTGTTCCAATCAGCCAAACAATTTTTAGAAGATTTTGAGTCCCCAGCTTCATTGACCTCATTATTCGGCCGAAAATTTTCATCTTCAGGCCCAAATATTATATCCGGAGCCGCCAGTGGATATACAGCGTTGTATATAACATCCCCTATATTTCAGTCTCCCATGATAAAAACAATTAAATATTTCAAACACAACAAAAAAACATTAAAGAACACAATCTATGTAATTATTCTGACATTTGAGATAGTCAAGGCAGAACGGAATGAGTAAAGTGAAGCGATCGAGCAAGCTAGGGTTTTTGCAGCCAGACCACATATGCTCCACCTGCGACATTACATTTATTAGATAGAATTATCAATCCGCTTATCCAAAAAAAAAAAATCTCTTTGAGTTTATAACAGTGTTTGTGATTATATACATACGTGCTCATATACATGTATGCCTATGTACACTATTCGAGGTAGTGATGTGCATACCTTGACGGGAAAAGAGGAGTGGCTGAGTAGAAAATTTAGCTGGGCGGCTATGAGTGGCGGAACGGTGTCGATCGCCATAGTTGTGGTGTTTTGCGGGATTAGTACGAGACTGAAAGTGAAGAAACTAGGCCGATCCCTGGATTTTGTTTATGGATTTGGGGACAAAGGTTAGGCAATCCGGGTTTAATGTATTCACCGGTTTTTTAAGTTTTATAACCACCACGAAAGTAGGAGAATGACTTTCTTTGGCCACCTGTAAAAATGACAACTTTCAAAAATTCTTGTAAAAATGACCATTTTGGTATATTTTAGACCAAAATACTCATGGTCAACAATTTGTGATTCCATTCAAAGACAATAAAATGGACATTTTTGCAAAAAAAATATTGATTGATGAAATCTTGACATATAACCTGCTCCATTTATTGCAAATGAAAAGATGTCAAATCACAATTAATGTTATTTTTTGCATTGACACAGAAATGTCGACAACGACATTTCAAGTGTAGAGAAATGTCATGTTTGGAATGCAATGTCCTTCTAAACATTTGATATGTTGAGAATGACGTTTTGAAATGTCGAGAACATTTAATATTATGATTTGATGTGTGTACTATTGAAATATAAAACGGGATTCAAATGTCGAGAATGACATTTTAAATGTCGAGAATACGTAGAGATTCAAATGTCTTTTTTTTTCATTAAGGGTATAATAGACACTTTAGTATTAAATTTGAAAATTGGACACTTTTCAACTCACACCCTTAATTGTGGACATTCTTGAAAATACCCCCAAATAAAATTATCCAGTGAGCAAGCTCGCATAGATTAGTGTGAACAAAAAAAAAATCGATGATCCAACAAATCGAATTGAAACTACAATTTTTAAAACCATTAATTTTGATCAATGAGGTTTAGGTTTCAAACGTTTTCAAATTGAACCAAACCATTTTTTGAAATAGGTCGGATTAGATTTCGATTTTAAAAATCACTTGAAATCGGATCTTTTTTCCTTTTTTCATTAAAAAATTTATGATTTATTCAATTTTATTATTTATTAAATCAATTTATAATTCAATAAACTTACTTGCTGTCGACTTGTACCTACTCTTGAGAAAAATAGTAATTTTGAATTTATGATAATATTTTTCTTATTTAGCCCCTGTTTGTTGTGCATTATTTCACCAAAACTAGAAAAAATTGGACCGTTATTGTACCTTCTAGCAGGCTTTTTTTATGACAAAGCTCTCACAGGTAGGTCCCACTTTGATTAATAACGGTCACAACTATTCTATTAATGAGTTGAATAATGCCCAACAAACAAGGGGTTAAAGAATGATTTTGCAATTTTACATTTTAAGGTTGGACTTGTATTAAATTTATTAGTTTAGGATTGTATTGGAACGAATATATTAATATGATTATTCTACTTGTATATTCAGAATTACACCAAGTGTTACATAATTTAGATGCGGCATCTATCATTGATAGGAGAAAATTGTTCTTTTTCCTCCAACCAATGATATACTGCCACATGTAAATTGTGCAATCCTCGATGTAACCCCTGATTTACCTATAGCAAACTTCATATTAATATTGTAACGTTCTTGATCAAAAAGTTTCGATTCTAGTGTTATAGTGAGATTTTAGATATGTACATTTCTTTCTTGACTTAATTTGAAATATGTTATTTTACATCGTTAGAACCATAGTTTGAAATGAAGTGAAACCTCGGAAAACAGTTTGTTTTGGAAAATATAAGATTTGGTTTAGTTTGGAACTTTTCCTAATCGTTTAAGGTGGTTTGATTTGAAAATAGATCAAAAGTTGTTCAAGCCAAATCCTGTTCGAATTGTATGATTCCAACACCAACTTGTTCTTTTTAATTTTTTATTTTCACCTATAATATAAAATCTACCTCAATGTCAAAAAAGTTTTTTAAAATTTCATCAATTAATTCATCCAAAATTAAGCTCAAAAACTCGTAAAAGGAATTTTGAATTCAACTTATAACACATCTCTAAAACTGCTTGCGCCTGCAGATGTAGAGTTAATCGAATCCCCAATGGCTGAAAAACTTCCTATTCCCTCAAATGTGGAGCAATTCGCATTACCGTGCATAATAGGCTGGATTCTTGTGTATTTTGAAATGATAAAATTTTGCAAGTGACGGTGACAACTTCCTATATGTGATTCTCGACAACATTTTCAACGACGTTGTTGTCTGTAATCACGTTGATCAAGATACATCAGTGATTATCAATAATATCGCTCGTGACAGTTCTCTTTAAATGGCAAAAAAACAAATTGATTTCAATTAGATTCGCAATAGTCATATTATCTTCAAACATCGGCAATTTTTTTTAATTGACGAGTGAAGCACAACCGTGGTAAGACTGACAATATGTGTCGGCAAAATTAAGCTCAACAACCCATAAAAGGAATTTCGTACTCAAACGCAATATGTGTTGGCAAGTGTTTATAAATCATTTATAAATTATATAAAAAAATTACACGTTTTTTTGATTCACGAATACTACTCTCTTCTCAATCACTAATTTTATTTATTTATAGATAAAATCGTTTATAAACACTTCTCAAACAAGCTCAAATCTTTAATATATATTAAAATTCCTGTACAATAGGAATCATTTTAAGAACTTATACTCACGATATTAGATTATTCCAATAACACGGTTAGTTTGAATTTAGCTTATGTTTGTTTCCCATTATTTTAAAACTCATTTTTCTACATATTCATTTTCAATCGCACATTCATATAATAAAATATTTTACATTTAAGTCTGAAACTTTTCTCTACTGTTTAACTATACATTATTCAAAAAATCACTATTTAAAATATTAATACAATGTGCCGAGTGTTTGATATGTATAATAGTCATCACCATTGATGATCACGATTCATCAAATGTATTGGACAAGAGGTCCACTGCCATATGAATAACATTATCCTAAACAATTGGATCGAAATACAAAAAGGACTAACCACGACAAGGACATGTACAAAAGGGGATGTAAAATTCTGAATTTAAAGGTCGAAGACGAATTAGTAAGATATGCTAAAGTTTGGGACTAGTCAAGTGAGGCATTTCAATTAACCATTCATTACAAGCAAGTGCTTGTGAACCGTTCAATAAGCACCAAAAAAAGATTTGCTTTATATTCCTCGCACTAGAGGAATGGGCATATTATCTTTTTTTTTTTTTGGGAGCAAAAAATAAAAAAAGAAAGTGGGTGCAATTATTATACATTATCTAAGGCGTGTTTGAGTCCCATTTTTTGTAAAAAAAAAATAAATGTATTTTATAATAATATTATTGTTAAAAAATAAGAAAAAATTTAAATTTGCCTATAATATTATCTTATTGAAGAACGTGTGATTGTAATAGAAACAAATCACTGTTTAAAATGCATTTTGATGGAAAAAATTAGGGTGTGTTTGATGGATATTATTTTGGAAGAATGTATTTTGGAATAGTAGATTGATGGAGAATGTATGGTTGAAAAAGAAGAAAAACTTAGGCTCCGTTTGATAGGTAAATTTTTCCATGGAAAACGTTATCCACATTTTTCTAGGTACAATCATTTGATGCACAAAAACTTGATTTTGTTTT